CTGGCTGCCACTGAGGGAGAAAGGTAGGGGGAGGTGCTGCCTCAGCCCTAGTACCACCCTCGCAAGAGTGATTACGGGGGCAGAGGGAGCAGCCATTCACAGTGCACATGCACCCTCCTTGTTTGCACCTCCTTCCTCCCTGAGCCTAGTGTAGGGAGGGAGGCCTCTCCTGCTCTGCCGCCTCCTGCTGTGCATCAGGCTTCATGGCTGCCAGAGCTGAGCTGCTGTAAACAGCTGACTTAAGCTTTGGCAACTGCTGCAGTCCGTGGCTGCTGAGCTGCTGCCTCAGGAGATCAAATGCAAATAATGGGTGTGATTGGTAAGTGCATGTTCCTGTTGAAGGTAAAAGCTAAAGGCTTACCCTTTTACTGTCCTTTTCCTGTGATAAATACTATTGTGATGTCTCATCTAAAACTCAGGGGTAACCCCATGAGTGTGCGGTAAAGACTTCACAATTGATTCCCCCCCCACCCCCATCGTCTGTGCACTGAATCTGCAGTTTGTACCCTTCTGTGAAATGTTTAGAGTGCCTCCTAGACCTCTGGAGCCCTTTGGGTTTATTGGCATCTTTGAAATGATGGTAATCTGCCATAACTATGCTGCTTTTTTTTTTTCCCCATCTGTCTTATATGATTGTAGTACTCGTATTTGCTTACAAGCCAGCTGGAATCTCAGCGCATCTACTGGGAAAACAAGATAGTTCGAATAGAAAAGGATACAGCTGAAGAAGTAAGTTTTTTTTTCTTCTCTGATCTTATTAATTGAACACTTGACCTGATTCTCAATGTGCTGAATGCCCATGGTCCCATTGACTCTAGAAGGAGTTGCAGTTGCTCAGCACCTTGGAAAAACCAGGCCATTACTGTGCTTTTAGTGTTGGAGAACTGCACTGATGTATGAGGGAGAGGTCCTTTTCTTCTTTACAGGGGAATTGGCTCTGAGATCCTTGCCCTGGCCTATACAACATTCTGAGTCTGGGTATTATGTTTGATTGGGAGATAATGTCAGGAGGCCACTGTTGTATGTCAGAGGTCTGCAGCTGCTTAGTAATACTGAAATGGAACTATCCCAATCTGTGTCTGTCTTCAAATTCTGATCAGGCAGGAAATAATTCTAAACCACGTCAAGCTTTCAGTACGTGTTTTTTTTTTTTTTTTTTTTTTGTTTTGTTTTTTTTTCTATTCCTGTTGGTAGATCTCAAAGTTTTTTGCCACTGTGGTTAAAGATGCAGGTTTAAATCTTAATTTTATATCTATTTAAAATCAAATAGCTGCCAAAATCAACAGCTGAGTGTGAATCGCTAAGCTAACTTGCTTTCTAAATCTAAACTTAAAGCAAAAAGGGAAGCCAGCAAGTTAGGGATTTGATACAGGCTTATTTAGTGTCCACTGATGGTGTCCCCATGCTATCTACAAGCTTAGTCATGGTTTTCTAAAAGCAAATGCCATAGCAATCAGCTTCTTGTCAGTGTTTTTGTTCATTCTTATATTTTTTTTTCTGGCAAGCAGCATTTACTGCAGTGTTGGGCATGCAGCCCTCAGGCTGTCCATGTGTGGCCCACAAGACATTTTGTTTAGTACTGGCAATTTTGTATGATGATAGTCTGTTTGCTTTCATTTGTGTAGGTTTTTTTCCTACCAGTATTAGTGACATGCATTTAATGCAAGAGTACATGAAGTGAGGTACGTGCTGATTGCACACAACATTGAGAGAACCAGGTACTCCCTCTACATCCAATCAAAGCGCTTCTGCTGTTCAATCAGCCACCCCACAAATTTTAGGTACACAAACACAGTTAGCAAAACTACCCTATCCTGGGAGAACATCTTGCTTATGACGGTCTGGTGGCCTGTTGAGATGGGAGGGCCATTCATGTGGCCAACTCACTAGCCTAGGTTGCCCATCACTGATATAGGGGGATTTTTTTTTCTTTTTTTTTTTTCTTTTTTTTTTTTTTTCTTTTTTTTAAAGGAGGATGAGGCTTTTTTCTGCTAGTTTAAAGCTTTAGAACTCTTTGCTCACCCAATTTCAGTAATTGGTCAAAGTTTAGTAAATGCCCTAGAAAATGTGACTCTCATAATGAAAGTGCACAGGACTTTGATCTGTTTGAAATGTCTTGTTTGTTTTTACAGATTAACAACATGAAGACTAAATTTAAAGAAACCATTGAGAAATGTGATAGTTTGGAGCACAAGCTGAACAACTTACTTAAAGAGAAACAATCCTTGGAAAGAAAGTATGTTTGTCTCTAAACAAAAGTAATTTTTAACAAGTATCCTAACTCTCTTATACATGCAACTTTAAGACTCAAATTGTAGCTGACCTATAAAACCCTTTTCATCAGGCTTTCAGTACTTCTTGAATATGAATATTTAATATCCTCAACTGGTATGGTAAGGACCCTAACTTTAAAAATCCTATGTCCCATCTCTGTGGGTGTCTTAAATAGCTGAAGTGGCTGTAGCATTGAAAGCAGCTTTCAAGCTTCTGCTCTTTCCACGTAGTTTGCCTGCTTAGTGTTCATTAAATCTTTCTTCTTCCAAGCCCACACCTAGGAATACAACCTGCGAAGGAAGGAAGTCAGTTGCAAGGAGTCATTCCACTTGAACAATGCATTATTCAAACAAACTGTGAAGCACCTAAGTTAATGTCTAGCAGTGTCTTCCTCAGTAGCGATCCCTGGCACTCTTGCACAGCGCCAGTCATCCATGGAAGTTAGACAAGCATTACCCTTGTCATACACACTTGATTTAAATTGTGGCACAAAGGTTGTGATTATCCCATAATAATCCTGGAAGTCAGTATCAAAGCTGGAGTCCTGCTCCAGCCACTGTACCATAATGTGTTTCTATAGACAAATGGGTGATCCCATTGCCAGTAAACTATAGGCTGGATGGGAAAACCTATGTGACAAGATTGTTAACCCGTGAAGCTTCTATTCTGCACTACAGCTTGCTGCCAGGATATCAGTTGTATCTAACATCTAGTTAATGCCTAGATCTCAGTTTTAACCCAAGAGTATTTTCCTGCCATATAGAAATAAAGGAAAAGAAATCTGGAAAAATTAAGCTGTCTGCTGCATTACTGGTCAATATTCAGGTTAATGACTTAGATAATGGCATGGAGAGTATGCTTATAACATTTACTGATGATATCAAGCCAGGGAGGGGGCAGCTGCAAACACTTCAGAAGACAATTAAAATTCAAAATGATACATTGGGGAACTGATCTGAAACCAACAAGATGCAATTCAATGAAACCAACGCAAAATACTTCACGTAGGAAGAAAGAATCAAATCTACTGCTACAAAATGGGGAATAACTGGCTCGGTAGTGGTGAAGAGGGATGTGGGGATTATAGAGGAATGTGATGCAACTGAGGAGAGGGCTAATATCATTCTAGAGTTTATTAACAAAAGTACCATATGTAAAATATAAACAGTAATTGTCCTGATCTCCTTAATACTGGTGAGGGTCCCTCAGCTGATACTGTGCCCAAGTTTGGGCACTGCACTTCAGGAAAGTTATAGATAAATTGGCAAATGTCCAGAAGAGGGCAAGAAAAATGAGAGATGTAGAAAACCTGATCTGTGAGTAAATAAACTGGGCACCTTTAGTTATGAGAAGTCTTAGCAGGGATCTGATTTCTGTGCCTTCAACTCTAAGGGCTGTCAAAGAGGCAGTTGATGAATTGTTTTGTGCCCACTGGACAAGGACAAGAAATAATGGACTTTATTTGTGGTAAGGGAGACTTTGCTTCCAACTATCCAACTTTCTAATGCTAAAGCTAATGAAGCTCTGGAACAGGTTTTGAGGTGTTTGAGATCACTTGTCAGGAATGGGCTAGGTTTACTTGGTCCTGTTTCAGCACAGAGGATTTGACTTGCCTTCTTGGGCCTCTTCCAGCTCTACACTTCTGAGATTCTGTAAACTTTCATATAATACCACTAATAGCTTAATTCCTCTGATAATTAGTCCATTGTGGCTGCTCATCAGAACTTCACTTCTTCTCTTAGGCCATGTCTTCACTAAGTGAAAGATTAATACTGCTGCAATCGATCTTCTGGCATTCAATTTAGTGGGTCTAGTGAAGACCCATTAAATCAAACTCAGAGGATGCCCCCTTGATGCTGATACTCCTGCTTCTCTGAGGAGTAAGGGAAGCCAACAGAAGTGTTCCCATCTGCCTCCTGCTGTAATTAGTGTAGTTTGAGTTGCATATCTTAAATTTAACCTCCCCCCACTAGTGTAGACCTGGCTTAAGCAACACTACCTCTTGGCCATGCTTGCTGCCAAGACCCAAGCCTGCTGCCAGTGTGCATTGATAGGTGCTGGGTGGTGGTGGTACAAGGAAAGGTCTGTGAATTCAGGACAGCTCGCATGCTTCCAGAACTGGTAGAAAGTAAAGTAACTATGTGAGCATTATTCCCTTTTTTTAGCATGGTCTGATTTGCTTTGTCCTAATCACTTCTCTTGTGTGGAAGGTGCATGCAGCTGAATAACAAGGTGGCCAAGCTCTCCAATGAACTTGAGGAGGAGCAGGAAATGAACAAATGTTTGCGAGCCAACCAGGTCTTGCTGCAGAACAAACTAAAGGAGGAAGAGAAGGTGCTCAAGGAAACTTGTGAGCAGAAGGACCTGCAGATCACAGAAATACAGGAGCAGCTGCGGGATGTCATGTTCTACTTAGAAACACAACAGAAAATCAACCACCTCCCAGCTGAGACCAGGCAGGAAATTCAGGGAGGACAGATCAACATTGCAGTGGCATCTTCTGCAAGTTCCCCAGCGGGCAGCACAGGAAAGCCGCCTCGGAGAGGCCGGAGCAAAAGGGGCAAGTGAAGGCTGAGACAAGTGGATCATCCTCACTGCAACTGATGCCACTTCTGAGTGACCGAGCACATGTTTTGGGACTCAAGCTGAATGTTAGATTCAACACTAAATATCAAGTCCTGTGAGGCTCAGCTAGAAGTTGTTTTCTGAGCTATTCATAAAGCTAGCTGCCAGTTATGGGGAAATTACAGTATTTTAAAAGCATTTCACGGCATTAGATAGCTAATCATAGGCAGACTTTAAACACCATTTTGCCTTCCTACCTTCTCTAAATTCCACTTTACACATTATTTTCTCCTTAGATTATGTTCAGTTTTAGACACATCTGAAACACAAAATGAATCTTATCCTTAAAGGGTCGTGACCCAAAGTTTTTAAGGTCTTTTTTTTTAAGCCTCTTCCTACTAACCAAGATGTTAAATGTTCTTAAAGAGTTTTTATTTAAATGGCAAGTTTGATTCAGAGGTAAACATCCCCATCCCACTTACTGTGTACAACTTAAATACTGCAGCATTTTGCCAGTGCAGAATTAGGGTAGTAATAGAGAAGTTAGAATGGACAATGAAACAGACTGAAGTATTTAAAAATAATAAACCATGTAAATGGTAGTGAGAATTAATGTGGTGCCCACTGCTATAAGGGAGTACACGTTAAACAGTTAACATGCGGTCCTCTTTGAAGGTGGTCTTGTGCAGTGCTAACTGCTTAAAAGTACAAGGAAATGTGACAGTAGTATGCTATAGAAATAATTGAACATAGTTATTTATGTGCAGTGTTATGGACGTGTTGGCCCCAGGTGACTAGAGCCACAAGATGGGGGCAGTAAATACCTTTTATTGGACCAGTTTCTATTGCTGACAGACAAGCTTTTGAGCTTACACAGAGCTCTTCCTCAGGCATTGGTAAACTTGAAAGCCTGTCTTGCCAACAGAAGTGGGTCCAATAAAATTTCTCACACCCCCTTGTCTCCATAATTATTTATAAGCATTCCTCCCAATTAAGTAGCAACAATATAGCACAGACTAGTATCTGTTTCAAATTAACACTGTCACCCTATTCTGCTCGCAGAATAAGATGCATTATACATTTGCCCTCTGCATATTTCAGTCGTGCAGGCACTAGGAACCTGAGTCCCCAGAGTGAGGCAGAATGATGTGTGTTGTGTGAAAGCCACATGTTCACATCCCCCTCTCTGAAAACTGTCACTTCTCATAGATGGCCCAAATACTCGCAGCTTTCAGGCTAGTTGCCAGCTTGCTACCACTTAAGGCTGCTGTACACTTCAGGAGCTGCTAACACTCCACAGGCAGTCTGTACAGAGAGGTGTCATGATGTAGTATAAGCTCTCCACACTGGGTGCACCTCCTGCCCGCGTTTCCTAGGATAGCTTAGTTTCCTTTAACATCCCTCTTGTTTTTGGTGAGTAAGGATTGAAACCAGTTTGCCCTACAGCCATCTATATGCAAGCAACCTTAGGGAAGCGGTGGTTCAAATCTGGCTTTTTTTGTTCTAGAACATACTAAACTTGATACTTCACAATGTCTCCCTTAAATGAAGACCTGAATATGTCCGATGACTTGTCGGGAGCATTTAAAAATGCTGACTTACTCCTTCTTGGATTGTGTAAGGGGGATCTTGTGACGCTGTCCTCGCCATTGGATAAGCTCCTGTTCAGCATTCAGCTACAGCTCTTTCACCAGTTTAGGCCAAAACCAATGCAACTGAAGCTGGGACTTATCCAGTTGCTAAGCAGAACCAAAAAATGAAACTAACATTAGGTTTTTATGAAGCTAAATTGTTCTTTTGGTCAGCTCAGAAATGAGTGAGTTATAGTAGCCATGTCCATAGGAGTAAGGTTAGAATTCCATTAAATCTGCTTCATGCCTTTACTAATTGTCAGGCTTAATTTTAGGAAGAAGGTTACATTTTTCTTACATGTAAAATAAGTGACTCTTTGTTGATGTACCAGATGCATCCAGTTCTTTGCTCTATAGACTTGACCCTGTCTTCTGAAGCATGATGTAAATGAACCTTTCTGTGGGATATAAACTGTACACTCGCACCTCTGGCTGCTGTAAAATAGTCCTAAAGGATTAGAGACCTACAATGTAGCTTACTCTCCTATAGAAAATCTATTTTATTTAAAATATATTTTTACACCAGCTAGGATCCTCTTACCTATTGCTGAAAGCTTGCTGTGTGTAGAACACTGTATCCTCGCATTCTTTTTTAGAAAATGACTTAATTTTAAGTGTGCAGTGTTTTTGTCTTTTCTTTTGTAGCTGATCACACTATTGAGGGGGAAAATCTCTAATCAAGGAAGGAGGCGTTGGTTGGGGAAACCTGAGCAAAAGAACTATGAAACAGAATGGTGTTGGCAGTAAAACTGTCTAAGGAAATGGCATTAGTAAAGTAAAAGATAAGAAAATCAACTTAATTCTAGCTTGTATCTAAGACTTGTGCAGGAGCCTTTATGAAACTAGTTGATATCACTGGCTAGATATCTGTATCTGACAATCACCTCTCTCCAAGTCTAAGTTGCAAGGCCAGCAATTGAATTAACATTCTTGTAATAGAAGTAGGGGCTAAACTATTCTTTGTCCTAACCATGTTCCAGCTATCTACAAGCATGCTGGCAGCTAATAGGGAGATGGGAAGCTTGCATGTTACTGCTCACTCTATTCTATTTCTATAGCTAACAAGGAATAGCACCTTTCAGAGGCACTCAGTCATTTTAAGGTAGTTTGCCAAGTGTTTGCACAGAATGAGATGAGCCTTTGTAAATGAATAAATTAGAATCCCTCATCTTTGCATTTTAATAGTTGTGACATACAGCCTTTGATGTAGTTCTTACTAAGACTGATTCTGTCCTGTAATATCTGAAACAAAAGATTTTTATGTTCTGAAGAGAAAAATAAAAGTGCTGGAACTCGGGTGAATGGTCTCTCTGCATTTGTTCAAGATGTAACAGTGGAGTGGTATCGAGCTAATGTTCCAGAAAAATCTTTTAATGTGGCCTGAAGGAACTAAATGAAGCTGAAGGGAGGGGATTCCTCTTATCTGTCTCTTTTTGTCACTAATTTAACCTGGAAGCAGAGTCCAGGTTTATTTCAATTGCCTTTTTCAGTCTTTTGTAGCCAGAGGCCATGTTATACCTTAGGGCTATGTCTCCACTGGCTGCTTCTTGCACAAGAACATCTTCCGCAAGGGTTCTTGTGCAAGAAAGCTCTGATGGCCGTGCGCAAGAGCTCCTGCACAAGAGGGCTTACACCTGATTTTAAAAGAGTGTAACTCTTGTGCAAGGAGCCCTGACTTACCATGCTGTACTATAAATTTCCTCGTGCAAGAGCAGGTGGACAAGAGCAGGTGGACAATGTGGATGCTCTGCAAATTCTTGCGCAAGAAGCTGCAAGTGTAGACATAGCCTAGGTGTGTGTTTGTTTCAGTTACTGGCCTAACTGCCCCCTTCTGGCCTTTAATAGTGGTTCATGCTGCCCACCCCAGCCTGTCTTGGGCCATCACCTCTCTAGAGGTGTGGTTCTTCCACTCCCAGATGGGGCCCACGTTGCAGTCCCTGAGTACCATCAACTGGTCTGTGGTTTGTTTCCTGCTGGGATGAATGATGGTAGTATCTGGTAACTGGAATGTCTCTTGAAAGCAAAGCAATCAAGAAGCATGTGTAACATCCCCAAATTTTACCCATCCATGGAAACTGCTTCAGATACTTGTGCAAGGCCTGTGTATATCTCTCTCCTCCGTCAACTCTCCCCAGAAACACAATCCTAGTACTCCCTCCAGATTCCTTTTTGCTGTTGTGTCCCTTTGGCCTCCAGTTTTGCAATCTTATCCCAACATCTGTTACTTTGGGCTGGAGCCTGCATATAAGCCTCTGTCCTGTAATTACCACCAGGTGTGTGTTAGGTTACTTATCTGTAGCACTTATATTGGTTTTTCCGGCAGCCTCCTGTTAAAGTGTCTTAGATGGATGTCCTGATCTAGTTTAATATTTAGGTGCCTTGTGGGAAATCTTAACAATGGTCTACATCTTCTTTCCTGGAAGAAGTAATATTCCCGTAAGTTGACCACACTATAAATATAAAGTACATAGAGAGTGACAGAGGTAGTGAGTGTTGCTGTCCCTCTTCTCTCTCCCCGCCCCCTGACCTTTAGTGGTGGTTGACATCTACCAACTCAAGTCCTATAGAGAGGGAGACCTGTTTCTAAATTCCCAACCCTTTCCATCCCTCCTCTTGAGGGATAAAACAGCTCCCATAGAAAGTCTCCTAGAAAAATGGGAATGATGATACTGAATAGCCCTGTCATTGCTGAAGTAAACAAATCAGCCAGGAGTTCTAACTTCATGCCTACTGTTTATATTGGGGGGGGCCCCCCTCTTACGCCACCCCTCATATAATTCACTGTTATGAGTCCTCCACTGCTGATTGGATCCATTGTGGCACTAAGTACAGTCTTTGCATTGGGGTGGGTCAGAGCAGTGTCTCTCAATCGGCAGTATGAGGGCCCTTGGGATACTTAAGAGAAGCCTGGAAGGTATGGCAACACAACTGGAATGTTGAGAACTGCATTTTTAAGTTTTACAGCATTTTATTTTGTACTTTTTACACCCAAAAATTTCATCAAGTTGTTTAAACAAATGTGTTGGTAGAAAAAAAAAGTTTCTGAAAACTGTAGGTACTGTTTTTTTGTTTTGTTTTTAAAGGGGTACTTTATTTAAAAAAAAAAAGTTGAGAAACACTGGGTTAGAGCTAGGGCCACAGCTGAAGACAAAAGTTGGCTCATTAGTTGCACTTGCCCTGTAATCTTTGTTTAACTTATTTTATCCTCTAGTGTTTCATGCATGCTGTTCCCTGACATGCTGGAAGCTGTCAGTCTTCATGCCACAACAGGGAAGGCCCTTTACAAAGATTCATTATATCCCGTATTATCTGTGATAGGACCCTGATTTATTGACTAGCAAAATGCAGGACAGAAGTTAAATGATTTGTATAAAATCACACAGACTCCCCAATCCCTGCTACTTGTAATACTGTTGTAACACAAGGCCCACTATCACCTTTACATGGTAAGAGACTGTCCCTGCACCAAAGAGCTTACAGAAGTTATGGGTAACCTAGGCTAGTGAGGGGCCACTCATGTGGCCTTCTTTTATTTCAGTGATCTGCAAAACTGATGTAACTAGATGGTCTCCTGTGAGAGAGTAGCTTTGCTTATTGCTCTTGCCTGCTTAGAATTTGCAAGGGGGCACTGATTGGACTGTAGCAGCACTGTGACTGGATATAGAGGGAGAACAGGGCTCTCACAGTCCATGCTGTGTTCAATCCGTGTGCACCTCACTTCATATGCCTTTGCTTTAGGTGCATGTCACTGTAGCAATAACAGTAAGGAAAAAAAAACTATATAGAAGGAAACTAACAGAATTTGGCAAGCCTGCACGTGGGCAACAGTAAATAAAATGTCTCCCAGGCTGCATGCAGAATTCTAATAGGCCACAGGTTGCCCACCAGTGGCTTAAAGTATGAACAGATAAGAGAGTAGTATGAGGAAATCAATAGTATTATAATGAATAGCAGTCCAAGTCCAGTTCCTTTAACCACACAAGCATCTGTCCTCTAAGCCCAAGAAAACTGGAAAGGTGCTGCCTGAATGATCCAGTGATGCTTCTGAAAGAGGTTCTCATTTTCCTTTCTTGAAACATCCTGCTGCTGTCAGTGGATGTAATATACTTAGACTTTAAGTTTGCCCATTTTTAATAATTATTATTTAATAATTGACTTTAGCAAGGCTTTTGGTACAGTCTCCCACAATATTTTTGCCAGCAAGTTAAGGGAATGTGGATTAGATAAATGGACGGTAAGATGGATAAAAAGATGGCTAGAAGGCTAGGCACAGCGGGTAGTGATCAACGGCTCGATGGCAGTCGGTTTCTAGTGGAATGCCCCAAGGGTCAGTTCTGGAACCGGTTTTGTTCAACATCTTTATTAATGATGAGGGGATGGATAGCACCCTCAGCAAGTTTGCAGATGACACTCAGCTAGGGGGAGAGAGAGATATGCTGGAGGGCAGGGATAAATCCAGAGTGACTTAGACAAATTGGAGGATTGAGCCACAAGAAATCTGATGAGGTTCAACAAGGACAAGTGTAGAGTCCTGCACTTGGGACGAAAGAATCCCAAGCATTGTTACAGGCTGGGGACCAACTGACTAGGTAGCAGTTCTGCAGAAAAGGACCTGGGGATTACAGTGGATGAGAAGCTGGATATGAGTCAACAGGGTGCCCTTGTAGCCAAGAAGGCTAATGGCATATTAGGTTGCATTAAGAGGAGCACTGCCAGTAGATCCAAAGGTGTGATTATTCTTCTTTATCTGGCTCTGGTGAGGCCCCATCTGGAGTATTGTGTTCAGTTCTGGGCCCCCAATTATAGGAGGGATGTGGTTGCATTGGAGACGGTCCAGCGGAGGACGACCAAAATGACTAGGGGGCTGAAGCATATGACCTACAAAGAGAGGCTGAGGAGGTTGGGTCTATTTAGTCTGTGGAAGAGAAGAGTGAGGGGGGATTTGATAGCAGTCTTCAACTTTCTTAAGAGAGGTTCCAAATAGGCTGGAGAAAGGCTATTCACAGTAGTGATGGATGGCAGAACAAGAAGCAATAGTCTCAAGTTGTGGTGGGAGAGGTCCAGGTTGGATATTAGGAAAAACTATTTCACTAGGAGGGTGGTAAAGCACTGGAAAGGGTTACCTAGGGAAGTAGTGGAGTCTCTCTATCCCCAGAGGTCAAGCCGAGACTTAAACACAAAGCCCTGGCTGGGTTGATTTAATTGAGATTGATCCTGCCTTGGGCAGGGTGCTGGACTTGATGTCCTTCTGAGGTGTCTTCCAGCCTTATGGTTCTATGATTCTATGTTCCCATAACCCAGAAACAAATGAAAAAGGGATTTGGGAGTTAGCAAGTGACCATGCTCTGCACATCTCCAACTGGGTACCGCACTGCAGCTACTTCTACAGTTGAGCAGTGAGAGACATGCTCCATCATGAGGCAGGAATTTGTCAAAGGAAAGAATATAATGTAATACTGTTCACATCTGCAAAGGCTTGGACTGTTAGTAATCGGAGCCCATAAAAAGCAGAGAGATAATAGCAAAAAACTGGGAACAGTGAAAGGTATAACATGATTTTCATGAAATGGAAGATTACACAAATGAGGCTTTGGCTATGTCTTCACTTTCCAGAAGATCAACACTCTGAGAATCAATCTTCCAGAGTTTGATTTAGCATGTCTAGTAAAGACCTGCTAAATCAAACACTGAGGGTGACCCCATTGACACCAGTACTCCAGAATCATAAGGAGTAAAGGAAGGCAACAGGAGGTTTTGCTCCCATCTACCTCCCACTGTGGAGACACCACCAAAGTTTGAATTAAGGTATGTTGACTCAACGTAGCTGAAGTTGTGTATCTTAAATCTAAATTCTGTGTAAATATAGACATAGCCTTAGTGTAGAAAAAAGCAAAGTGCAAGGAAATGGGATTGAGAGATTGAATATAAAGTTTTAGTATAGCCAAGCTCTTTGACGGGTTTCCATAATCTCTTCACAAGTAAGATGGATGTCACTTGGCAATGCTTTCTTACACATATAATTTAGGAGGTTGTGAGTGCTGTTCATTGGAATGAATTATGTACATAAAATTCTATAACTCCTAATTCTGCAGCATCTACTGCTGAACATTTTGATAATTAAAAGTCCTCACATATGCTTCCATTAAAGGACTGGCTAGATTTTCTTGGCTACTGTGTGTCTAAAATACATATTCCTAGAGTCATTCTTTTTGCTACATCTCAACTCAACTTGCTCTCCCTTTGTTTAAACACATTGGTAAATAGCCCCATAATCCTACAACTGAGGGGGGAAAAAGT